GAACCAAAGCATACGTATATGGGTAATTGTTCAGGAACTGAGTACGTGCGAGTGTAGCTGTTAGGTCCTTGGTTCCCAGGGGAGGAGGGGAAGCACTATGGCACAGAGGCTGAGAGGATTAAGAATTGTCAAAAATGGCTTCAGGATTGTCTTAAAGTCTTACACAATGTGCTTCAGATACTCGCTGTACTCGTCCGCAAACTTCCTGCCCCAGATGCTGCTGCCTCCCCATCCAGTGCCTGTTGGGTCTCCTGTCTGAACCATGAAACCCTTGATGTTACTATGAAATACACAGCCGTTGTAGTAATTATTGGCACAAAGAGCCAAGAAATTCTCACACGTCTTAGGTGTCCTCTCACAGAAGACTTCTATTTTGATATCTCCCACATCTGTATGCAACGTCACAGACATCCTCTTGATGGCTCCAGGAAGACTTGCACAGAAAACCTGAAGATGAGTTCCCAGTCCTGACATTGTATTTAAAAGCGCTTTTCCCATAGTAGCAGACACTAGTACTAGTATGCATTCTCCAATTAAGTCCCTCTCCAGCCCAAGAGTTCACCACGACCATCCTAGGAAATAAAACATGGGTGCAGGCTCACTTCGCCTCTGCTGGTGAGTTTGGGTCTCAGTCTTCTCCAAAACTAACCAGTTTTATTTGGAGCTAACTTTCAAGGCTTCTGCTCGTCGCCATGGAGAAGCCATCAGAGGAGTTCGACCCATCAGAGGAGTTCGACCCATCAGAGGAGTTCGACCCATCAGAGGAGGTGGTCGACCCACTTGTGGACTCGGAACCTTCTCAGATGGATGAACAAGACTCCTCGGATGATTCGGGAATCTCCCAGCCAGACAACTTAGAAAAGGACATGAGAAAGCTGACCATCGACCCCAGTGCCAAGAAGCCTCCTGCTTCCCTGGCAGGACTTAAACTTCAGCGCAGTCGCCGCAGCCGCAGCCGCAGCCGCATCCTCCACCGAGCAATTAAGATGAGAAATGTCGAGAACAAAAGTGAGAAGATCTTGAGGGAGGTCCAAAATGCCTTTCCCAAGAGAAGAGTCCGCACACTGCTGTCTGTGCAAAACAATCCTGTCGCGAAGATGAAGCGATTTATGTGGTTTAACAAAGCGCAACCATTTAAATGCATCTGCACTTTCTGCCTGTACAATGGCTGGGACCCTTCTGAGAATGCCAAAATTGGAAAAAAA